AGCAGTAGTAGAAATAGTAGTAGTAGTAGTAGTAGCAGTAGTAGTAGTAGTCGTAGCAGTAGTAGTAGTAGTAGTAGTAGTATGTAATAGTGTGCAGTAGTAGTAGTTGTAGTAGTAGTGTAATACTACTACTACTACTACTACTACTACTACTACTACTACTACTACTACTACTACTACTATTACTACTACTACTACTACTACTCCTACTACTACTACTACTACTACTAGTAATAGTAAAAGTAGTAGTAGTAGTCGTAGTAGTAGTAATAGTAGTAGTAGTTGTTGTAGTAATAGTTGTAGTAGTAGTGGTGGTGGTCGTGGTTGTAGTAGTAATAGCGGTAGCAGCACTAGTGCTAGCAGGAGCACGAGTAGTAGAACTATCAGTAGGAGCAGCAGCAATACCAACAAGAGTACTATTCGTAGTCTAATAGTAGTACAAAAGTAATCGTAATAGTGGTGGCTCGGCTTGGGTGGAACGCAATGATGGTTATGTGGCAATTCACAAACGAACATCATTCGATAATATGAACACCGTTCACTCATACGAATACCGTCTACGTGTACGAACATCGGTAAAAGTAACATCATACAAAATGCATGTTTGTGTATGTTGGAATGTTTTTGGGTACGTCCATGCAGATGTACGTATGTATACGTGTATGTGAACACGTGAGGGTACATGTGTACAGACGTCTAGGTACACATGTGTACACACACGCACGTGATATATATATATATAGAGAGAGAGAGAGAGGCATCGTAGAGGCATCGTCGAGGCATCGTACGGGCCTCGTAGAGGCCTCGTAGAGGCCTCGTAGAGGCCTCATACAGGCCTCGTAGAGGCCTCTTAGTGGCATCGTAGAGGCCTCGCATGGGCCTCGTAGAGGCCTCGGAGAGGCATTTTAGAAGCATCGGAGAGGCGTCGTAGAGGCCTCTTCGAGGCATCGTACGTAGAGGCATCGCACAGGCATCGCAGATGCCTCGTAGAGGCCTCTTAGAGGCCTCGTAGCGCAAACGTACAGGCCTCGTAGACGCCTCGTAGAAGCCTTGTAGAAGCCTCGTAGAGGGCTCGTAGAGTCCTCGCAGAGGCCTCTTAGAGGCATCGCAGAGGCCTCTTAGAGGCATCGCAGAGGCCTCGTAGGGGGCCTCTAAGAGGAATCGCAGATGCATCTTAAAGGCATCGTAGAGGCATCGTAGAGACCTCTTCGAAGCCTCTCTGCGGCGAGTCAGAGTTCCTCACGTTTCAGAAAAAGAAACCGGGGAATAAAACACTTGGACCGACGAATGCCACATTCCATCGGTTCATAAACCATCAAACCAGCATTGACAAGTCGGCCTTCTCGACACCACTTGGGGTGAGCGGCGGGTGGGGGCGCTATCCGTTTCAGGCTCGCAGAGCGTGGCAGGCGTGGCAGCTGCTCGACACCAGAGGGGGTGAGCCAGGGGTGGGGGCGCTATCCGTTCCGGGCTCGCAAAGCGTGGCAGGCGTGGCTCCTCGACACCACAAGCGGGTGAGCCGCGGGCGGGGGCGCTATCCGTTTCAGGCTCGCAGAGCGTGGCAGGCGTGGCAGTTTCTCGACACCACAGGGGGTGAGCTGCCGGTGGGAGCGCTATCCGTTTCGGGCTCGCAAAGCGTGGCAGGCGTGGCAGTTGCTGGATACCAGAAGTCTGCGCGGGCGCGAGCTCGCGTCCTGTTCAAAACTGCAGACACGTTGGCTCAAGCCGGCTCGGCGCGCCTGCGCTCTCACGCAAGCGCGCCTGTAATCCCACTTGAGGGCAGCAACCGGCCTACCTGCGCACAGCAACCATGCCGACCAATATTGCTATGGACGCTCTGCCACCCTGGTGTTTTGCGATGAAGAACGCAATGATTCAGATGGGAGGTGGGGCCAGCGTGGAGAACTCGCGCAAATGCGCAAGCGGAGTGGATCTGTCCGCATTTAATGCGTACAGCCGCGAGCTTCACAACTGGTGGCCCGATACGCTCTACGCCCAGTACTCCGACATGAGCGACCACGGCAAGAGGCAGTGCCTGGTCGCGTTCCTGCGGAACCCTGCGTCGGGTGGGTTCGCCTCGGAAGCTCTTTCAGACCCGCCAGAGGAGGGACGACGGCGGCGGGCCGCCAGCAAAGGTTTGGCGAGCGCGCGATGCCGGCAGCGCGGGCGCTGACCTAGAGGCTTCCCCCGCCGCAGCGCTTGCCACACTTATAAAGGCTACGCCTACGAGGGATGTGCCAACGAATGCCCCGCCCGTGCAGGCTTGCACTCCGCAGCGGTTTCTGGCTGTTCTGCTGGCTACTTTTGCTCGTTCCAATGGCACCGCGCGCA